ATATATANTATTTATTTATTTATTTTTACTGGCAGAGTGCTACATCTTCCAGTTAACAGCATGTTTAACGCTCTCTACATGCTCGAGAATGGGGCCAAAATTCCCCCACTACTTTCCAGAAAAATCTGTGATGTTTACAGTTTTTTGTGCCATGCAGAGCCCGGTTATACAAGCAAATCTATCAGGATGCAGATCTCCACCCCCAGGTACAAAGGCTGCTTTACCAAAGACTCTACAGTGCTAGACAAATGTTAAGTTAAGTTAAACGCTTGGTTGTGACCTGGGTCTCTTCTGATCTCGCTGGCTTTCGCTTTGCAAACATCCATCTGTCGCCCATAACCACAAATCCAGCCCAGGGTCATGATCCATCACAAGCCATGAGCAATTCAGAAACAGCAATTTTTATACTGTGGCAGAGAACTGGAGAACTGAGAGGAAACCAACACAAAGTCAGAGGGCGGGAATCGAACGCATACCCTTAAGGGTGGGGAGAGACCACAGTGTTTTGTCCATGCTGCCCCACTTCACAAACAGTAGCAGGTTACATCTTTGTTTTCATAAAACACGTGATCTATGCCCATGCGGTGTTTGCCGCAGCATATCTGCCACCACTGACCCCGGCCAGGTTTTCACCCCACATTCACAGCCCAAGTCCTCGAGCCATGAAGAATCTCCCTGGCAGGGATGCCAGGACGCCATGCCAGCAGAGCTGTAAAATCCACAGCAAGCTGGGATAAACATACAGACAGGGCCATGATGGTCTGACGACAGGAGTTACTGAGTGCTGTCCGTGAGAGGTCCGTTCAGGGTGACAAGTCGGTCTTGTAATTACAGGATATGAGTCTCTAGTCCACCTCCTATCAAAAAATACAGACGCAAACGGGAGTCTTGGCATCACGCAACCCAACCCAAGACACCTGGATGATGAAATGGGCCATTTTAGCAATTTTCAGGTACCAGTGGGTGACGTCACGGAATATACCGGAAGATCGACGAGTTAAATTTAGAGGACATGGTTGGTGACTGTGACTGACATCGGCGTCCAACCCTATCCCTCTAATTTGCAAGAGAGCAGAGAGACCCGAGGCCCGCTCCCAGAACGAGCGTGAAAGTCCTGCGGCAGCTCCACATCGGGGATTCGTAGTCCCGGCAACGGACAAGCAGTTCATTGAGAGGCGAGAGCGGCGTGGAGTGGGCGGTGGCACGCCCCGGCACGCCGCTTTAGGGCCTGTTTGCTCTGAAGACGCCTGACAAGCCAAGAAATTACAGGTATTTGCTGAGGGACACTTTTGATGTTTAAAATATAACCTGGAACGGTGGGGAGCGAGAAAAGAAAAAAAATCAGCCTCGGCTTCCTGGTGTCTGGAAAAGCCAAACACACCGTGGGTCTATTTCCAGCCTTGAACTGAAAAAGCGTTTCTTAAACCCTCACATCCCTAACACTGTCCGGCTCGACTCCCCCGGCCGCTTTTGGGGATGGCATCCCGAATTGCTGGGGGGGGGGGGGTCCACTTACGACAACATGAAGGGTGAACCTTGTCACTTTCCTCATACTGCGCTAGGCCCCTCAATACCAAAGTCGAGTGTGTGACTCCACAAGAGAGCACTGGGGTGAAGGGAGCCACCAAAGGTACACGGCGGGGGGGGGGGACAACCAAGCTTGGGGGGCCATGGAAGTGACTCGTATTTGTCTGATTTCAAAAGTCGCACCCAATCTTCCAGGCCAGAGGTACCAAGAGATGACGTCACTGTGCAAAGAGAATTTTTTGCCCCCCCCCCCCACCAGTTTACAGTTTACCTAATTGAAATAAGAACAAATGGATCATTCTGTTTCAGCTGTGGTGCATTACAGACCTCTGGCTGTGCTGTAACACCCCTCATCATATCCTAACGAATCTGTGCATAAGGATAAGCATGTATAGGTAAGTCAATATTTACCTCGGGAACTTGGCATGGTTCACATATCAAAAATGCACGTATAAATTATTGAAAAGGAAAGGGATGCATCAAAGTAGGTATCATAAAACACAGAACACAGAAAGGCTCAGAAAAGCTTAACCAGGTCACAACATCTAGAAAGCGAAACTGGTATCATCCACATGGATCTCTGCCAGAACACAGAAACGGCACAACAAATACAGATCTAAAACCCTGCTCGTACCAAACACAGACACATTACACACACGGGTCTAGAACCCCACTAATACCAAACACAAGTCTTGAACCCAGCTAGTACCAAACACTGGCATACAGCACTGCACACTGGTCAAGAATTCTGCTAGTACCAAACACTGGCACACATCACTGCATACAAGTCTGGAACCCAGCTAGTACCAAACACTGGCACACATCACTGCACACA